AATAAAATTACTGTAATGAGTAAATTTTTTAAAAAATAAAAATATTATAAATTTTTTTATAAAAATAAGTCACTGTATCATACATTTAACCCTTTCTTAAATGATAAGTATTTCATTTTTTTAAAAAAGTTAATATTTGGAGGGGCCATCATTTTCTATACCATTAAACAAGTTCAAATCATTAAACTACTTTAAAAAATCATATGTAGCGAATAAATAAGCTGCAAACATGTGAATTCCAGATCAACAACAAATCAAGAAAAAATTCATGTTTAGATTCAGATACGAAGAACAAGATGATGAACCAGCCAAATTTTCTTTATTAGAATGCAGTAAAGTTTACAATCGCTTAATCAACTCTCATTGAAATATTACAAAGATTAACGATCTACTCAGTCGTATCAATTTGCTTCTGTATCCAATGTTCACTAGAGACGCTTGATATGCTGCAAGAACAATCGAATTAACCATAAAAATGGAAATGGGGAATAATAAAAGAGCAAGAAGATCAAACAATTCATTTCACATTTGATGGATGGATCTTTTAAAATAAAAATATGAACAGGATTAAAAGTAACAGATAGCTTGAAATAGTAGCAGCCACTGTGTCGCAAGGCCTGTTTTCGTCACTATTCGCCCGTTTAACGAGATGACTTCGACATTAATTAGGTCAAGACATTAGATACCATGGGCGTTCTCAATTCAAATAAACATAACGATAATCGATTGCAATAATTAAGGTGTTTTGGAAATCAGATAAAAAGGAAATTAAATCAGAGGTAATTAATTGCAAAAGAAAGATCAGATGGTAGTGCATGTATTGTAGATCATCATCCGATTGTACAGACAAAAATGGGTAAATAAATCATCACATCAATCAATTTGCAAATCAAATCACCTCCGACAAATCGAACACATATTCATCAACGAAACTCGAATCCGGATTTATGGAAGAGACTGATTCAATCCATCAATTTAAACAGAGAAACGCGGTTGAAATGGATCGCTTATGCATTGATGCAAGAGATTGCTCATCAACCGCGATTTCTCTATTTAAACAAATGGTATGAATCAAATAATACCGTAACAATCGAATCAACAGTACGGAGTACATAAAATGGAAGACTCAGATAGTAAATCTCTCATCAAGGTGAAATCAGTCGGTAATTCCAACTTTTTAAGATATAATTCCTCATCGGCAACAGTATCACCGATTTGAAACGTTTTCAAAAAACCAGTTGAAATCAATCAAGAAAAAATGTAATCGCAAAAAACGGCTCTGTGAATGAACGGAAATCAATCAGTTCACAGGTTCCTATAAAATGCGAAAGACACAAAGCCTTGTTATCGGTTCAATCATAGCATCGTCGGTCAATGCACTTTTGGCTACCGTCGACGTGGCATCGAACCAGTTTAAAAACAAATCTATGTGAAGATACCTCAGGAGACCCGTTACAAATCACACACACACCGGAAGAGGCACAAACACGAATCCCGACCAACGAACACAGCTCTAAGATCGGGTTAATGATCGGAGGGCCAGTCAATTGGTGGATGGGAACACGCGCTGCCGTAATCCRATGCTGTTTAAAGTGTCATACGGCACTTCCTATCTTTATTGGGGACTTCTTCCTCATCGGAAACTTCTGATATCAAACTCAAAATCAGAAAACTACAAAAAAAAAAAAAAAAAATCAAAATCAAAATCAAACGAATCAAGAAGAGGAATTTGAAGAAGAGATGTGATGAATTGGATGCAAAGAACGCATTATATAGAGGAAAGGAATCGCAAACCCTAATTTCGGTATGATGTTGAGGTCGGCGGCCCATAAAACCCTGTGGTTTGCTTCACTCTGAGCCCAGCCTTCATACCTGCTATTGGGCCTTGGTGAGTGCAGGGGTATTTGCTTTTATTCTGAAAACCCTAATTTCTGTTGCTTTATAAAATGATTAAATTGAAAACCCTAATTTCTTCGTAATGTTTCGGGATGTAATTTTTTTTACAAATTCGAAACATAATGTTCGTGCCTCGTTTAAAAAATCCGAAACTTATGTTCGAAAAAAATAACATTACGGTCGTTAAAAAAAGTCGTTGGTTCAACCTAAGGGTAACGAACAACAACATGAACATAAAATTCACCGAATCCAACGTAATGACGTGTCAATCTTTGAATTAATGTTGAACAGGTAAAAATATGAAAGTTCGCGTAACAGATTAACTTGTTTTGTAAGTAACAACATCTACGACTTATCATGTATGGAGAAGTTGTAAACCTGATATGATTATACGCCTTAACTGGTACGAGGTTTATGCATGGCAAAGCAACAGTGATGACAAACAACAACTACAAGGGTTTCTAATTGCACATTTTGTACCATAAGAAAATGGAAAGAAAAAAAACTGAATAAAATGTGCAGCATTAATGGTACGCTCATTTATAACGTAATATTGCATATCAGCTTTGCGTATAGCCAATAAGTTTGTTGCGGAACTACTTGAGCAAACAATGTCCCTAAGACCAACCATACTTAGACCATGTCCACTGGGGTGCATATGGTTTCATAATTCATGCATCACCATGAACGTAGTGCATAGAATATAGGGGTGAAACTGTAGAACCCTTGTGATCGTGAAATTTATTTCCTTTATTGCTAAAGATATCTTAATAGGAAAATAATGTTATTCATATATTATAAAACATTCTTAGTAATTTCATGTGATGGAGTATGACTAAACAGTTCGGTGTCTTGAGTTTTCTTTCACTTGATGGGATGCTCTCTGAACAAGTCGTCAACTAACAAGTTCGGAACGTGCAGAAACTATTGTATTTAAAGGTTAATAACTCAAGAAAAGACAGAATCAGATCAAACCGACTTCATAGATGTTAATGTTCGTAATGGATGTTAATAAGTCTGAGTAGAAATAGAGAAGTGGGAAAGCAGTGGATGTCAATGTTCATAACCGATGCTACAAAAGTAAACATGAAATATTATAAAGAAAACTAAACCTAAGTGAAAACTACGTTACAAATATTAAATGCCATAACTTTCCATTTTGGGAGTTATTTCCGATGTTTTCTTATTTATTTTCTTCGTTTTTTGCCAATCTTGTCTTCCTCCCTATTCATTTGGTCTTGTTCGTTCTAAAATCATGATCAAGTTCCAAGGGTTTAAATATCGTTTTTCCTGACATTTTTCGCAACAAAGTGGCCTCTTTGTCATTACAGTGGTGTCGTCGAGCTGATTCAAGAGAAAAGAGCTTTATGATGTTTGGAGAGAAGAAAAGAAGAAAGTAAGCTTTGATGAAAGAAATAGATGAACAAAACAAACGTTCCAAGTCAACGAAAGTTTCAACGCTTCATCCAAGAAGTACTTTTAATGTGATGTTTCAATCAAACTTCAATCCCTTTTCCCGAACTATAATATAAAAGGAGCCTTTGGGAGCCATTTGGAAGAATTATTTAACAACAAATCTCATATAGAGCACAAGCATTCAATCTTCTTCTTTCCTTTAAGTTGTTAGAATTTAATGATATATTGGTTTCTTGGTCTTTTTAGTTTTCGTCATACCAGCCTCAACACAGTGGCGACATAGTGGTGACAGCTTAGTTGTTATCTTCAATGTGCGTGACTTTGAGTATTCGTCTTCTCCTATCATGTGTTTCTATTTTAAATATGAGCTAAGCGCCAATTTGGATATGGTTGTGAGTAAAATCTAAGATTAGTAGGCAACACTTAGTTGTGTCGAGACTTCAACTTAAATGCATACAAATCGATCACTTATAAGTGCTAATATTAGATCCTATACCCAGAGATTGACAGATCTAGAAATACGTCATGAGTGATGCAAAAAGATTCGACAAAGTCTTTTATGACCACGTTGAGATATGATTTTTTGTATGATTCTAACTAAGGTTCTAAATTCGGACGAGACTATTGTGTAACACCCATAATTCCATTGTTGCCATTAAAATATAAATTTTGGGAAAACAGTCAGGGAAAATGGTCGGAAAACAACATGGAAAAAGGTTGGAGAACGACCAAAGAAAATGGTCAAATAATGGTAGAAAAACGGTTGGAGAACGGTCGGGAAAACATGGTGGAAACGGTCTCGACGGCTTGGCCAGGCATTAGCCGCGACCAAAATCACGGGAACCTCTGCTTGTGGGAAGGACCATAGTGGGCGACCCTGCCACACGCATGGGCGGATGCACACTAAAGGGGTAGGGGGCACAGGCCCCCAACAAACTAACTAAGAAACATTCAAATGAAGCATTAGTGATAGGTTTTAAAAAAATAATTTAACTAAAAATTATTAATAGTCCCCCAACAATTAAAAGTAAGGCTCTAAATCTAAATTTATGTATTTTATTTATAACTCTTACTTCAAGGATTCATTACTTTAATGATAAATTAAACGTTTTTAAGTTCCAAGTCTCAACCTATTGAAAATCATTTTATTTTTCTTATTTTGTTTGATATAATGTTAATGATTTGACTAATCACTATCTTGATTTTTTCCAAAATTTTTTTTGCGTTTTATTGTTTTATAGATCTATAATTATTGTTATTTGTTAATTATTAATTTTCTCTTTCTTAATTGTTATTTGATTTAGGATTCTTTAATTTGTTATTTAATTTGGGTCTGTTATTTTGATTTAAGATTTGCTACTAGTTTATCTTTTATTTTTGACTTCTTGCCCTCTCATTTCTTGCTACTAACTATTAATGTGTAGTGTGTTCATTTTGCTTTGGTTTAACCGAAAATTAAAATATGTACATGACAATATGATGTCTCAGTTTATCCGAAATAGTCAAAAAATAATTGAAAACCAAACCGAATAAGTTATATTTATTCGGTAACTGAATCGTTTAATCCGGAAACCAAATAACCCGAAATCGTATTGGTTCCAATGAGTTATTTGGTTTCAGGTGTTTTTTTTACACTCTTAAATGTGCCCCTAATGATAAAAGTTTCTGGATCCGCCACTGGCCACACGATTATGAATCGAGGGCATGGTCACATGGACCACCCGAGAGTTTGAAAGTTCGATTTTTGACCGATTCTCCTCATTTCCTCAACACTATTCATTCTTCTCACTCTTTTTATCTTAACCTTGAACATCTTTGTGGTTTAGGTTTCTATTTGAAAGACTTTTGGAAGTATTCCTTGGTGATTTAGGAATTGTCAACTTGAAGGTAAGTGTTTTACGTCCTCTTTCCATTTCTCCCCATTTTCGTGCAACTTTAAGAGTATTTGGAGTAGAATAAACCTTGTGGAAGCTTTGGAGACCAGTGACTTTTGTGGTGAGAGACTCATCTAGATGTTGAGTATATACTATGCTCATTGTGGGAATCTTGCAGTGGTACTCATTAGAGTCGTACATGAGTGGCTTACTATTGTGTTCCCACTGTATTCGATGGAATCGGGTCTTCTCGGTCATCTAGATGTGATGTTTTTTGGGAACTTTGTTACCTATGTTTCAGTATTTTGAATATAGAGTTTCACCTATATATTTGATATTTTGAAGTAAACACCTTGCACATATTTTTGGTGAATTGAACATTGGTTGTAAGTCTAAAACAAGTATTCGATTTGAAAATAAAGAGCTTTGGCAAAAAAATGTCTCTTTGAATTATGTTTTAAATAAATGAGTCATTATTTAAACTAGTTGTATATCCACACAATGTAGCACAGTTCTAAATACCAGGAACCTAAATCTTCAATCATTCATTCTGCTTCGTCCCATCGATTTTATTTCATGGTTTTTTTGTGGTGTTGAATTGTGAACCATCTCATGTATAAATCCAAGTTAAATGTGGTTGATTGGCCAAGAATTTGTAAAAAAAGAATCATATTAGTAGGCTTAATGTTTTTTTTTTTTCTATCTTTTAATGTGCTTATAAGCTAGCTTATGGAGTTAAACGTGTTGCAAAGTTAAATCGACAATAATAATAATAATAATAATAATAATAATAATAATAATAATAATAATAATAATAATAATAATAATAATAATAATAGAAATTGTTTTCCTTTTTCCATCTGCCATAAAAAATTGCTAACAGTTTGATTCAGAAGTTGTTTTTTTCAATATGTTCATCGATTGTGATAATACAACCAAATCACATAAAACCCAAGTTGAATATGAAAACAATCGAACCACATAGAAACCAAGCTTCTTTTTTGAAGTATATGCATGAACATCACCTAAATGATACAAAAATTCATAAAGTTGGCTTCATTAAAAACTTTTTGATCCAAACAAGAGAGCCCTTCTCAGAAAACAAAGATACTGTGGTGATCTTTGATGGTCTTGATTTGGTCTAAAATTGACGGTGGCCTTTTGGTTGAGTCATCTGATGCAGAGTGTTGCCCTGCTCTGTATGCAAGGCCCTGTCATTGGGTATATGCCTTTGCAATATCAGACAACAAACAAATTAATATTCCAAGTAACAATGAAAAAAGTGGTAGTATGCGAAAGAGAATCATACAAGCAACACTAAGAGATCATTTGCCAAACAATTACTATGAGCATGCCAAAGACCAAGAATCTTATCGGATAACAGACATAGCAAGGACCGAGAATTATTACCCGTTAAGCGAAGAAGATGACTCTTATCCGATAAGCGCTTACCGGGTAAAAGATGCGTACTAACTAAATTAGGATGGTTTACTTGTCATCTACATTGAGTATTTTTGTTGTTGGGTCTTTTCCTTGGCTTTCTCACTAAGCAAATTACCAAGTCGATGCTTATATAACTGCATTTTGATACTTTCACTTCTCCCTTCGATGAGTTGATCTTTAATTGCAAAAGTGATAGCTTATATAACTGCATTTTGTTACTCTCATTTGTCAAATGACCTGGCCTTCCCTAGCCACCGTCTGGGCTCCCTTTCCTCCCTATGCTCCTCCGACGCAGGCCTACCACGCTTTGCGCCTGCAGCGTTTTCGCCAGTAGTGCCATCCTCCCCGCTATCTATATGGGCATATAGGAAAGTTCAAGTCGACCAATGTGATAGGCAAAGAACTAACTTCTCTAGTGTCCATCAAAAGATTGGAAGGTAGGGGATGACCTGTAATTAATCTAGTATGCAACTCAGGAACATGACACAGTGAATATGTACCCGGGCCCTGTACAGACCGCCTATCACACCCTATGAAGGCGCCTTTATTTAATAGAATTAAGTTCCCGAATATAAAAAATAAGGATCTCAGGTTTCAAAAGCCCTAGATATAGATGTCCGGGAAGTGCTTCCTTGCATTAAAGCACATTTCGAAAGTAAAAGGTCATAGGGTTCATAGACATTCTATATTTTTTTATCTTTCCTTTATGGTAATAGCGGGATCATAGATCTCTCTTTTCAAAGTTGGCAAAGTGAAAACGTCAGTAGTGCTTGATTGACTGCTTTAAAGTTTGAAACAAGTCTTGGATTCGGAAGAGAAATAGGCGTAAAGGATATTGAGAAAGATGGTTAACTGCTTTAGGTTTAGGAGTGTCGGTTCCAGAAAAAGGTCAATCTACCCTTTAAGTTCTTTAATTTCTGGGAAGGTTTAGGAATTTTTCAGATATACCCACATAAAGATGTTCCTGAACAGTCTCGAAGAAGTATCRAAGTAGAAAGCAAAGCTGGAGCCTTAGCCGCCTTGTCAAAGGAAAGCGAAGGCTGAGCCCGCAAGTTTTACCATACTAAACTACTAATAACTATATGCATTGTTTCTATTGCTACTTCGTTTTCAAAATCCGAATAACGTTCAAGTAGATCTAGATAAAATTCTTCTAGTGACATTTTAATAATATGATACAAATGGGCATATCTCAACCAAAACTAAAAATAAAGATCAATATCATGAAATAGTAAGTTCAGACATAAGTGTTTCTAATATGGTAGCAAAGAAAACAACTTGAAAAACAAGTAAATAACCCCATTTATTTTTGCCTTTTATTTTTCTCCCACTTTCTCAATACCAAGTCTAGGCATGTAAACGAACATTAATAAAAACTTGTTCATGTTCGTTCGTTTATTATAACAAAACAACGAACGAACACAAACAGTAAATAAATGAAAATTTTGATATTCGTGTTCCTTCATTAAAAAGCTACACAAACGTAAACGAACGAACAAGATGCTCCTGCTTTCATGGGGTGCTCCAACCAAGCGCTTATCAAAGCTTGTGTTTCTAGCCAATAATAAGTACGATAATACAAGGATGGACTTCAATAACCATTCGATGTGGGATCAGAGGTATATATAAATGAGTAGGAGGGTAAGCTTGCAGATCTCACCGAGGACGGACTTAATTTAACTTTTTCTCAACTTGTTCAATGTTTTTTTTTATTGTAGAGACGGATGTTTCTTTTATAATAAAATATACTATCATTTAAGATTGTGGGTACATGGGACAAGATATGACAGGATTAGACAGAACAAGGCTCGATGGATTTAGACCCTATTTATTTAGGAATTACACCCCATCACTTTATCTTATAGATTAATTATGACTAATGATTAGCATTAAATATTATCTCTCATCTCATTTTGACATGAATAAATGGAATATAATAAATTAATAAGATGACTATTTATTAATTGTAATCCGTTAGTTATTATTCAAAAATTTAGTATATATGCTTGCAATATACTTATGGCACGACTCATGGCACAAAAGTTATTGGATTAGTGCAAACTTTTTATAATAAAGTTTTAATATTAGAAAAAATTTCATAATATATGTTTGGGTAATGCAAACGCCAAAATAAAAAGATAGTTGTGAGACATAAAAAGTTTTAAGGGCTGAAATTTATTGTTTTGTAAACACTCATATAATTTTAACTAATAGTGTAAAAAAATAAACAATTAAAAAAAATAAACACATATAACAACTTCAGTAAATAGAGAGTAAAGATTACAATCACGAAAATGTTACATTTGTCGACTTGAATATGCTCTATCAATCCTATATCTCCTCCATTGTGGGTGAGTTGACGGTATTGGACAACCTTTTCGTAGCAATAGGTTAATGAAATGACTCCCCCCACACGTGCAACAATTATAGGGCCAGTTGATTCTGACTCATGTGGACCGGACCAAAACGCAAAGCACATAGAACTACCTACCATGGATATAAATACAACCGGTCTTCTATAAAATGAAACGATAACTAACATTGTATCTGACATAGACATCCATTGGGGCAAAACCAGTTCCCGAAAAATCCACGGTCTTCCAAATGTAATTAAAGCTTATGGAAGTCAATATATCCGTGTAATCTTGCTTGTGATATCTTAACTCTTGTAACAACTTTTGTTGAATCACAAACCACATATTTTCATCGAGACCAAGGCCGACGACAACTGACCGAAATTCACAGTTTTCATCACCTTTGACATTATTTAAACGTCTGATATAACGATTAAAAATATTTGGAATATGATCGAGTAAAGGTTTTGTCACAGGTTCTTGGTTTAAGTTTGAGACTTCCATAGATTTTGAATAATTACTTCCATAGATTCTAAATAATTATTCAAAATCTATGGAAGTCCTAAACTTAAACCAAGAATCACCCTTTACTCGATCATATTCCAAATATTTTTCATCGCTATATCAGACATTTAAATAATGTCAAACGTGATGGAAACTGTGGATTTCGGTCAGTTGCCGTCGACCTTGGTCTCGATGAAAATATGTGACATGTAATTCAACAAAAGTTGTTACAAGAGTTAAGGTATCACGAGCAAGATTACATGGATATATTGACTTCTATAAGCTTTAATTACATTTGTAAGATCGTGGATTTTTCGAGAACTGGTTTTGCCCCAATGGATAAATAGATGTCTATACCAAATACAGGGTTAGTTATCCCTTCATTTTATAGAAGACTGGTTGTATTCATATCCATGATAGGTAGTTCTACGTGCTTTCCACTCTAATCCGGTCCACATGAGTCATAATCAACTAGCCCATAGTTGTTGCACGTATGGAAAGGAGTCATTTCATTAACCTATTGCTATGAAAAAATTGTCCAATACCGTTAACTCACCCACATTGAAAGAGGTATAAGATTGATAGGACATCTGCATGGAAAGACATTTATTCAAGTCGACAAATGTAACATTTTCGTGATTGTAGCCTTAACCTATCCAAACAAAACCACAAACACCATTTAAGATAAAGCCGCTAACAATTATCTCTTACTCTCGATCTCCATTCTAGTCTACATTCTCTCCTGCAATCCTATCCTTACCTTTCCTATAAGACACCAGAGGTGTTTGAAATTGTTTATTTGAAAAAACTTATGTTATTTTTACAAAAACAATAATAACTTATTATAAATCATAAGGGTTTATTACCGGTTTGACACCAATATATAAGTTGTTTATTCAAGCACTGTGTTTGTGTTTATTACCGGTGTAAGACCTAAATAAGTCAATTTTATAAGCAATCCCGAACACCCCCAAATTGCCAAATATGACCATGCTTTCAATAAAACATGTCGATCTTTTATCATATAGCATCCCCGATGATCTTGCTTTCCATTGTCAGGCTGGTTATCTCAAACCAGCATTAGAACCCACATAACATAGCCACACCGCCATCATACCATTAGCCCTAAACCATAGAAAGCCCCAGTTACAAACTAAACATACCTTAAGGAGGAGGTCCGATTCCATTGTCATTTACTATTCCATGAAATCCAAGTTTCAAACTAAAACATTTTAGAAAAAAAGGGGTTGAAAGCATTGTGAAAGAATGTAATCGCAAAAAACGGCTCTGTGAATGAACGGAAATCAATCAGTTCACAGGTTCCTATAAAATGCGAAAGACACAAAGCCTTGTTATCGGTTCAATCATAGCATCGTCGGTCAATGCACTTTTGGCTACCGTCGACGTGGCATCGAACCAGTTTAAAAACAAATCTATGTGAAGATACCTCAGGAGACCCGTTACAAATCACACACACACCGGAAGAGGCACAAACACGAATCCCGACCAACGAACACAGCTCTAAGATCGGGTTAATGATCGGAGGGCCAGTCAATTGGTGGATGGGAACACGCGCTGCCGTAATCCRATGCTGTTTAAAGTGTCATACGGCACTTCCTATCTTTATTGGGGACTTCTTCCTCATCGGAAACTTCTGATATCAAACTCAAAATCAGAAAACTACACAAAATCGAAATACTACAAATCTACAAGAGGAATTTGAAGACGAAGCATGATGAATTGGATGCAAAGAATACCTTTATAAAGAGGAGCGAAAGCGTAAACCCTAATTTCGGTAGGATGTTGAGGTCGGCGGCCCGTAAAAATCTGTGTTTGCTTCACCGTCAGCCCACCATTGATTCAAATCAAACTACTCGCACGTCGCACCCCGTTGTTGGGCCTTCACGTATCTTTGCTTTTTTTTTTTCACCTGAATAACCCTAATTTTGTGTTTTTACAGCATAAAATTTGTCAAATTAGAATTAGAATTTTGAAATTATTGTCTTCACTCTTCCATTATAAGCGAAAAATCATGTGAAAATAAGAGTTAAATGAGAAGCAGAGATTTGGACCTTTTATCAATTTTAATCTCACTCTCATCCTATGAATTACGTTTATCACGGGACTGGTATGGTGCATCGCATTAGCGTTAATCTATGGTATATTATAAAGTATTTGACAAAAACTCTTAAAAACTACTTTTTATGCGTAAAGTACTGTTTATTAACGTATATTACTTAAAACTCAATATTACAAGTAGATTATGCGTAAGTAACTGCAGATAAATATAATCAAATACAGTATTAACATCTCATTTTAAATATAAAAAAACTAAAATATAATTAGGATAATCATTAAATAAAATATTTAATTATTATCTTTATAAAATTTATAATATTAAACCAAAAATAAATTATTTC